ACGCATTAAGGTCTGTCTTATATCTAAGGATAAGACTAGCTACTCTACTATTGTCGAAGGTATATATTAGCCTAAGGTCTTTGCGAACTAGGTTAAGAAGCTTAAGGCTTGTAGCCTAGTCCCGCTAAGTAAGATCGGCAAGCTTACTAATAAGTACCTTACCGACGACGACCTCGACTATATATTCGATAGTTAGCCTAATAGTAAGAGGCGCAAAGCGGAGTAGATCCTTAACCCTCTAAAGGAGTGCGAGGTCTCTATTTAGATACTATACCTGCTATATAGTAATCTAAAGGCTAAGAGCAACCGTATATTAATTAACCTAGGCTACTCTCGCGTTATTAACGGTACTAAGGTTAAGGGCTACGAGAACTTAATAGTCTCTTAGGTTACTAAAGCGTACCGTAATCTAACCGCCCTCCTAGCCTCTAACTCCTTCGTACTATTCGCTTTCCCTACGGCTATCTTAGTCGAAGGCCTCGGCTATATCTCCGACGCCCTAGTTAGTAGGATTCCTTAGTTAAGTTACGTTGTTTAGAACGAAGTTAAATAGATCCTCTAGCTTAATAACGAAGGACTTAAGGAATATCTGTACGATTAGGAGAAAGGTGCGACGGAAAAGGCTACTAAACTCCTCGTTAATTAAGCTTTCTACGAGGGACAGTACTTCGGTGCTAATAGCTTCAACGTATACGGAGGAGATTTCGAGAGCCGACTAGCAGATAAGGTTATTGCTAGTAAGGATTACGGCGCGTTAAAGCAATAGTAAGTCTATATAGTATTGCCTAGGAAGTTGTTTTTATATAATTATAGCATCTAGGATTAATGCTACCCTAGGGGTGTTATTACGGAGTTCTAAGAATAGCCTTAGCTAAGAGCGCTAAGGATGCATACATGTTTGTTTTAAGCGCGCATAATATGAAACGTGTCTAGTTAGATATAAAGAAAGGGAGGGATATTAGCTAGTAACCGGCCCTATACCTATAGGCTAGTTTTGAGCCTATATAAGAGGCCTCCTTCTACAGAGTAGATAGATTATTAACCTCGTATAGTATATTGTTTATATTACACTTCTACAATGCCTATATTGCAGGGCTCTAGTTATCAGCCTAAGCAACAGTCTCGTTATCCTATCTTACTAAACATAGCTGCCTATATTGCTATAGGTTATGTTACCCTCGGTAGCCTATACTATTGCTATAAGTAGTAGTAGTAGTGTTAGTTTCCGTCCTTTATTCTTAGCTAGTAACCGGCCCTATACCTATAGGCCAGTTTTAAGCCTATATAAGAGGCCTCCTTCTGCAGAGTAGACAGATTATTAACCTCGTATAGTATATTGTTTATGTCACACTTCTATAATGCCTATATTGCAGGGCTCTAGTTATTAGCCTAAGCGACAGTCTCGTTATCCTATCTTACTAAATATAGCTGCCTATATTGCTATAGGTTATGTTACCCTCGGTAGCCTATACTATTGCTAATAGTAGTAGTAGTAGTATTGGTTTCCGTCCTTTACTAGGATTTCGCATCTTCTCGTATAAATCGCCTAATCTAAGGGAAGAATCCTACTTCTACTTTAGTAGAATAATAAATTTAGTATTAGTCGTCGTAATAGAATCTCTAGTAAAGGGTTCTATATACAGGTTCTTATCGTCGTGCTATTATATAGATTTATCGTAGCTCTTTCTTTACGACCTCTACGTAGGTCCTCGGCGCGTTATTAATAGAGTATAGCTCTACTACTATTCGGTAGCCTTCTCTACCCGAGTCCTTTCGTTGTATTATATTAAACTGTTCGCGTCGCACTATATTCTTACCGCGGCAGTTCCGTACTATATAGCCTTCCTTGCTATACGTATAGTAAGTTAATCTTCCTACTTTCTTAGGCGAACTCTTGCCTTTTCTTCCTTTAATTGCTCGACCCTTCTAGGTAGCGTCTAGCTCTATTAGTTGCGTACCGTAGTAGTTGTTCCCCTTTAGTTTATTATAGGTACTATAGTTTCGTCTATTATCGTATCTAGGAGTATAACTAGCTTTTCTAGAAGTCTTAGAATTGTAACGTCGTTCTAAAGCTCGTTTGTAGAGCCTATCGTCGAGATCGATCGTAACCTTAACTAATATTCCTATATTATCTATTTTTCTACCGTCGCGTATAAGCTCGTCTTTAACGTTATCCTTAAGACCTCGCCGATATATTATTATAAGAGCTTCGTCGTCCTAATCCGTAAGTTAGGCGTATTCCTAAAATTTAGCGGCGTAATCGGCATATAACCCCTTCTAAGTTAAGTGTTAGATAACCCTAACTGCGGTAGCAACTTCGTTAGAAGATCTAAAGACCTTCTTTATCGTACGCTTAAGATTTTCGTAGCTTGCGAAGATTCTATCCGAATTGTCGGTCTCGTTGCTATCTAGATAGGTCCTAAGAAATAGTTTAACCTAATACTAAGCCCTACCTCGTATAAACGTCGTTACGAAGACTAGCTTTAAGTTATCTTAAACCTAGTTAAATATGAAATACATATCTATCTAGCTAACCTAGGTATCGAACTTGTCTCGGTCGCCGTAATAAAAGTCTAGCTTTCCGATCTTAAGAGAATCGTTTCCGGCATAGGTTCCTAGTATATTGCTAGCACTAGAGGTAGTACGTCGAGTACTGCCTATCTCGCTAGAGGCGGGAGTTCCCCTTCCGACTTATAATAAGGCACTTATCCTAAGGGCGTTCAAAGTATTACGGTTACTCGCGACAGATCGTTAAGTAACTTCTTATTATATGCAAGCCGAGGCTTCTTTAGAGAGGCTAATATAAGCGGGAGGCAGAGACAGAATAATTGGTACAAAGGTAATTCCAATTAGTAAGTAGGTAATATAAGTTAAACGCCTCGAGCTATAAGGGCATTCCGGCGTTCCTAAATACAAAGGAGATATCTTGTTTATAGTCGTAAGCGACGTAAGCGACGCTATCGCTCTCGACCGCTCCTATCGCTTCTAGTAAGATAGAGCGACAGCTTAGCCTACTAGTCTTAGCGTCGCTCTAAGATTATATAAGGACTCTAACTAATCAGATCCGTAACACTCTATAACTAGCAAGTTGTACCTTATAAGCCTATCGGTCGTCTACCTTAAGAATCTCGAGGATTGTGCTATATAGGCTATAGAACACGAGGTTCCGCTTGTTATAGTCGTACTTAATAGCATAGTAATAACCCTCGAGAGGCGAGGTCGTTTTTATTTAAAGCAACAATAGACTATAGAGCCGTGCCTAAGTAGCCTATTTCCGTAAAGTATAGCTACTCTAATTATAGCGTATCTATTAGACCTTGTCCTGCTAACCTATAGGCTTATTCTCTTTTAACTACTCTTAAATCTATACTATATCGCTAGTAACGTTGCCGGCGCTACGTGCGTAGTAGATTAAGTAGTAAAATCGCTTAACAATCTCTAGAAATTAGGCCTCTAGAAACGAGCGAAGGAAGGTCTCTTTAACGTACCGCTAGTAGAGATAAATTAGTACCTAACCGTCCTCTTTCTACGAGAGATTAATAGCCGCCTATTCTAAGGCCGAGTCGTCGATTATAGCTATAATAGCCTTCTATAGTAGTAACTACGATTTGATAACTCGAAGCCCGGCTTCTGCTAGCTTAGCTTTCTAAGATTCTAGCAATAGGTATCCTACTAGTAACTAGCAACCTAATCCGTTACGAACGTATACCGTAAAAAGGTTCTAGGCAAGGTCCGTAGTCTTATAAGTTGCGTCTAGCAAGAACAACTATATAGTATATAAGTTAGTAATATTTTGAATTTTTAAAGTTAGTTATAGGAACTATAGAACGCAAGCTTTAGAAGCTTAGTTATACGCCTACCTTCTATAGCAAGAATAATAATAACACCTATACTTACATCTCCTACCTCGGTATTTAACAACTGTCGCTGCTACTTAGTCTAGAAGACAATGCTACGCTCTATCTTGCTCTTTAGTCTCTTCTAAATAAGCTAATATTAGAGTAGTTTACCGTCGAGGTCGTTATAGAGGCCTTATAGGGCAGTAGGAAGGTCTTCTAGTTAAATATCTACGTTTCTACGGTCGTTACTACGTACCTTCTTCTAATTAGGCTTTACCTTCGACTAAGCGATAGTACTAGCCTTTATAAACTGTCTACCTATCTTACTAAATTAGTCCTTTAATAGACCGCTTCTAATATAGTCTAGGACCTTAGTAACGTTTATTTAGCGTTAATCTATTATCTCCTCGAGAAAGACCTTTAGCGCGTTATTAGACGACCTAATATCTATATATCTTAGGTTATAGCAATATAGGTCCTTACTAACTATAGAAGGATTAGCTCGAAGGCGGCGGATACTAATTTCGTATAGTTTAGACTACCTACTACGATAATGCGATATTACGACTACCGCCGTATTATAAGGCTCTTTATTATATTTAGCCTTACGAATACTATCTACTACTACCCTCTTCCGCTACTAATCGCGCCTATAACGATAATACTAGTAGCTTCGCTACTCTAAACCGTCCTTCGTTCTTAGCGACCTTACCTCCTTCTATATATTACTTATATATTCCTTTAATACCTCGAACTAGTCTAGATCGTATATTAATCTGTATTTAGATATATTAAATAGCTACTCTCGAATATCGATAATATTATATAGAATACGATCTAGCCTAAAGAACGACGACGGCGGCGGCGGCACTAGTTTAGATATTATAATAATAAGGATAAGAGCTATAAGATGCTATTATAGCTATTAGAAAGAGCCTAGTTTATATAATAAGAATGCACTTATAAAGAGCCGCGGAGGTACTAGAGGTACGGTTAGAACTAGTAGTATAACCGAGAAGGTTATTACGGTACTAGAAGAGGATAAGCACCGTCAAATGCTAGACTAACACTACTGAATCAGTGGATAACGCCCTCCGGAAGGTAACCACTGATCGAAACAGTGGTACGCTAAATTTCCTGACATCCAAGAGGACCTCTGTTTTAGTCATCGTCCTCGATGCCGTTGAACCTACACACTTCCGTCTTGCCGGCATGAGCTGTACATCGGATGATGTATGATTTGTCGTCACGGTGAAGCGGGTCTTTGTATCCATACTCCCACATGAGCTCATCCATTCCTCCTAATGTTCCCGCAGCTGAAGTCCAAGGAGTTGCTTGAGGATCCCAACCTTCTAGAGTTGCCCAGGGAAACTTCATGTCGACAGTGTTAGAAGTGCGGTGGTGTAGCGTGAACTCACAAACATGAGTGCGCGCACTCTCTGAGGGATCGCCAAACGCGTGTCGATATATCCGCAAGTGGGGCTCCTTCTTGAGATTGACAGCGGGCGTCATATCTATAGTCCAGACCGGTCGCGAGGATGGCATGTTGCGTAGAACTACGGCTAGCCTAATCTTTCCACTTAGCATGTGCTTGCCCATCGTCATCCAATAGACGTCGTAGCCATATGTATAGTTCTTGGGAGGCTCGGGCTTGAAGACAGCTTCTTTCGCCCGATATGGCGGTGGAGGTTCGGTGGCTTGAGATCGATCGTCTTCGGTGTCTGCGTCTTGCCGAGCATTGATTTGGTAGGGAGGAGCTGCATTGGAAGAGGCACTGCTGTCGAACGGGCCGGTCTGGCTCGAATCGCCTGTGTTTGAGCTGCTGGCTCGAGTTCTGTTTACCATGATGAGGAGGCCTAAGTAATCAACATTCGGGGCAAGCGCTGCTCTTACTGACACCCTAGGTCTTACTTATATTCCATAAGGTCCATTGGCATCATGAGAGGACCATCCCATCATAGCAAAGCATCGTGTGACGTGCAGGCACAAGACGGCTTTCTGAAATTGGCTAAAAGATCAAAACAGATCACAAAGTCGGCAATGATCATCTTGGATGCCTTAAAGATCTTCGAGATGTTCTTGCTCTGAACCGAACTGTGCCAAAGGGAGCCCAAGCTGTCTCGCTATTACTTCTTCCGAGGGCTGAGTGGTGAAAATGGGTAGAGATAGCTTTGAATGTCCAGAAAGGTCATGTTGGCAGTGATGGGCCCTTGTGAAAGAGTGTGGAAGTGTGGGACGGACCCCGGCCCGGTCCGGTGCATGGGTTTGCGGTTCAGCCGAAGCTTACTCAGCCCCTACTTTTCTCCCCGTAGAACACTGAAGTTCCTTCTCCAACTCCAATTAACGCTATACAGGAGAGACCTGACTCCTAGCCTCCTAGGTATGGCCGCACTCACCGGCTGCATCAAAACCACCATCCTTCTTATTGTCAAGCATCTGTCAGATCAAGCTTGAAACACGCAGCGATTGCACGATATCACGACTTGAGGTGCACACAATGGCCGGCACAACGAGGCACGAATCCGAGACTGGCAATACAATGGTAAAGTAGGAAAGGATGCATGATGACACGTACAGCCTACACCTGCTGAAGTCGCGGATGGTGTTGAAGGATGTCAATACTTACAGTAGCTCATCCTTAGGGCTGGTATCGATCGCATGTTTACTGCCTTTCGAGTAAAGCGTAGCCTTGCGCTGACCACGCTGCATCGCGAAATATGATCCGGCCCCTCGCTACGGCCGCCTCTCAGAGCACAAGACTATCTGTGGCACACATAGTACCAGCTCTCGCGAATCTCCGCCCAATAGCAGCGACATGCGGAAGCGTTCAGCTGCTGTGCCAAGTCGGTCTTGGAGCTTAGCTTCTTATTCTGGAAGCTGTCAATCGTCCTCGAGCGCTGGAAGTGGACCCTCTCTAGCCTGCATCGTCTGCACAACCTGCATGCCGTGTGCCATCCTATAGTGCCCTCGTACAACAGCAGATGATGAGGTGCGATACATATGCCTCAGCTTTGCGACCGCCGACATGTCCGGAAGCTTTCTCGCTTGCCAGATCGACGTACTCGACCTCACTAAATCATCAATTTTCACTGTTTCGATGTACTCGATCGTATATCGCATGGAAAAGGCAGTATGGCGGAGCAACAGAAGCAGCAGGAATTAAGTCCGCTGCATCGAACTCACCGGACTTCTTCTGTATTTTCGCCACTGGCATCGCACGCGACAACGCTCCAAGACGATCCACTGGATACAGCCTATCGCAGTCCGTCACTTGCAAACTCTCAGACTGCCTTCTTGGGCAATGATCGAGGCGCAGAATCTGACCACGAAGCGCCAAAAAACCGAAAGTTCCACACTGAAGAGCCAGAACAAGCAACTTTCTCCAGAGTCCTTATCTTGCAAATCTTTGCACTGTCGTGGACTGTCCCAATTGTCGCTCTACTTGTGCTGAACATCAAGAGGCATGTAATTGGTGCGACCGCATGGTGCCCACTAGGTCGATGTCTGCCTCGAGTGGAAGACCCAGATCCAACCATCTCCAGGGAGCTTCCGGCAGTTTTCGATCGGCAGACTCACAATTTACTGGGCTTTCTGCAGCTAATCGCGAAGGCTCTCGAGGTGCGGTTCATTTTGATCGCTACCTGGCTAGTGTATTTGATGACCATACGGTTGGCGCCAAAGCTTCGCGGCCTTCCCATCGGCTATCTGTCTCGTCCAAGCGAGTTCGCAGAGATACCAAGTCTGTTTGATGCTCAAGTGTGGTCAACGTTGCATGAACGTGGCGTCAATGGACAGTCACGTACGTCCAAACGTGCGAGATATCGGCTGTGGACCTTCATACTAATCACTGTCATTCTGTGTGTGCTTTGTAACCTCATGGTACGTGTTGTGCTACTGAGAACGTACGCTGATGCTAATAAACTGCTGCATATGGTCCTGCTGGTGCCGTATTAGTGTTGCCAAGCCTACAATGGATCGACACCGAAAGAATAGTTCACTCCAGGTTCGATACTCTCAACGCCAATGGCCTGCCTGGCGAAGATGGATATCAATTCGCCGTTTTGGATGCTGCATGTGCTGAAGGATGGTTCGACATACAATACTACAACTGCTCGGACAGGTGGCAGCGCGGTATAGATGCCTGGGTCGCATCTACCTTTGCACGGCAAGATTATGCGGCTCCAGTGACATCATTTCAAGGTATGGTTGCTTTCACATACAACGCAACCGAATTACCCACCTCGAATGCCACATTTGAGAATGGGACTCTTGTCAATGAAGGCTACCTCGAGAGCATCAACTGGGCGCCCAGCCGACAGATGCTGAATGAGCTTACTGATGATCTCTTGATCGTCCAGAGCATGTCTCGTGGTTGGGACGCTTTGGATCCTCGGGACAAAAGTTCCGTCTCAACCTACGCGCCGTATAACAACACAGTACAGACGGTGATCAGACGTAAAGGTCCAATCCTGGGCGCGTTGATCAACACTTGGGTGGGATACAACACTACGTACGACTCAGCTCGGCACTATACGATCACTGTAGGCTGGAATCGCATGGTAAGATGCTACGAAAATTATGACTTGTACAACAGCCCGCTGTGCTTTGGAACTTGCGAGTCTTCCAGGTTGAAAACCTACACCAGGTGCATCACTTTAGGCACAGGTTGGAACGATGGCTACAAGAGTGCAAAGTTTCGAGTCGCTTCTAAGAAGCACATGCTGGTCGGCTTCAACGGTCCAAGTGCTCATTTTGAGGTCCATGCCTCGGGGCGTGCAGCCTATGTTCCATCATTCGAAGGCAACGAAACTTTACCAGAGAAAGTTATAGAGGCAGGATTCCCCATGACATGTCTCAGTAACAAGACTGTGAACGACACTAGATGCATTTGGGATGCGTTCTTCAACCTAACTGCTGAAGACCCCGAGGTCAAACCGCATTCGAGAAACGTTACAAGCTGGCAAATATGGTGGGATATGAAGGACTACCCAAACAAACCCAACAACATCGTGTTGGCAGTCGACTTCGAGACGTATGTCTTGTTCGGAGACTATGAACTAGACCCCTCAAGGCTGTCCAACCCTCATCGTCAAGTCAATCATTTCCTCCCCAGCGTTCGCAAGAAGGATGAAATCTTGCCTCTAAATCCGATCCGCGTCGATCCAGCCTGGACAAGAGCAGCATGGGCAGTCGAACAAGACGGAACCATTGATTCCACTCGTGCGGCGGCAAACCGTCTGCAAGAGCTCTCGGATCAAATCTATGCCACTGACATCTTCGACCAAAATCAGACGGATGTTCTTCTGCACAATCGCTATTACTTGAACTCCTTAGCCGTCATGCCAATCATGCAGACTTTGAGCCTGATAGAGTACAACGTGAGCGATGCCGAGGCGACTGACGACGACAATGATCCAGAGAAACCGCTTCTGGTGCAGGATGCTCGCATCAATGTATGGGCATACGGGCTTGCCTCGAGAACGTCTTGGCTAGGCCTCGTTGTTGTAGTCTGCGGCTGCTTCGTGGTCGTCGCGGAATTTGTGCTGGGAATGAACGACAGACGTCTGTTCAGATCACCGACACAGCTGTTGGTGGCGGCGCTCGAGTATCACGATGCAGGCGAGTTCAATAGCTTGTACGCGGAAAAGGACGTGGCGAAAGTACCCTTCCGTCTCGAGAACGACCATTTGGCTGCAGGATGATTCAGATTTCGCAAGACGTGATATCAGAGAACCCTCTCGACAGCTTGTGGCCTTGCAGCACAGTCTATGATAGTAGCTCTAGCATCTTCATCATTCATAATCTAATCGCTTCCCTTCTCCTCTCATCATCAACTCAACTTCACAATTCCCCAAACCTCACCATTCTTCTCTTCTTCGCCTTATCCCCTCTCACCTCAACTCAACTCAACTCCACAATCCCCCAAACATCCTCCCCAAACCTCACCTTCCCACCCACAACCAACTCCCCCCTCTCCATCGCAACCCCACACGGCATCCACAAATCCCCCATCCTCACGACTCTCCTCCACCCCCCTTTCTCCTCCCACTCCCACCTCTCCACCGAAAACCCTTCCCCCCGCCTCACAACCCCTTGACAAAAACTCCCCACCCTGACAACCATCCCCCTCGTCCCCGCCTCATCATCCCATAATTCCAAAACCACGACCTCCACATTTTCAGCCGTCTTGTTTGATTTGTTTGTCGTCCGAGGTGGAATTTCAAGCCACATTTCTTCGTATTTTTCGATTTGGTTTGTGGAAACATTGAGCATGGAGCCGGATTCTAATGTCAACCCTTGTCCATTTGGCTGAGGAAACATGAGAGCGGAATCCGACACTTTGGAGACATCGGGATGGCGAGAATCTACGAAATGCGTCCATGTGGATTTTGTCCCGCCGGTGGGGAGGATTTCGGAAGTGGAGGTTCCGGCGAAGGCCCAGTCGAGGTGGGAGGATGGGAGGATGGCTATGGATGTTAGTGGAGATGGATAGATGGAGGGAAATGGGTGGTGGTGGTGGTGGTGGTGTTTGTTTACCTGCGTCGCGAGCTAGTTGGGGGATTTCAGGGTCTGAGTGTCCGGAATTTAGGATGCGGATGTCGACGAAACGGGAGCCGGGGGAAGTGAGGACTAGTGTGTTTGTTGGTTCGTGAGGTTGAGATGGTGGGTGGTGGTCGGACTCCCATCTTATCCATTGGCGTTTTGAGATGCTCATGTTGGGTATGGTGATTGTCTTGGTTTAGTCGATGGGAAGAAGATGAAGTTCGAGGTCAAGATGTGGATGTGGACGCCGGTGCGGAACGGGAAAATCAGTGGGGCTCTGGAAAGGGAAGGTGCAGATGAATCCAGCAAACGGTCCATGTTGTTCGGGAAAGTTCTCTTCGCCCTGGATTATGTACGGGTTTATCTACATTATGTACAATCTATGTTTGCTCGTGCTTTCGTCTAATTTTTGAAATGACTGTTTGATTCATTCTTCCCTCCTACATCACGGTTTGAACGATTCTGTTTGCTTCATGCTCCATGGGCATCGCAGGCACAGGTGGCATGTCTACCTTGTCAAATGGATCCAAGTCTTCATCGAATGCAGGAGTCGGTGGTATTGTGCTCAACTTGTGAGCTTCGAAGTTGCTACTGAAAGCGGAGTTGTTGATGGCTGAAGGAATGCTTGTGGGGCAGCCAGCGCTGACACTGTTGCGCACATAGGTCGGCGTGCGGTATACGGGTGCGGAACTTCCGCCACCGATAGATCCCCTCGATTGCGGTGCGCCGGCGCTTGCGATGCTTGAGCTGCGGCTCGACGCGGGCGCCGCCGACGTGAAGACTGTCGATAGCCTGCGGAAGACTCCACTCCCAGCGCTGGCAATACTGGAAGATCGTTGTGGCTTCTCACCTTGCTGATCGTTGGTGTCGAGCATGTAAAAGACTCCCTTCAGGCCAGCAGTAGCAGCAATGATTGAAGCCTTCACAATGTTCCAGCTCTCCTCCAGTCGAATGAAGTCATCCATCTTATTGTCCATGAGATCAAGTTGCTGGATCACAACTTCGACACAGTCTGCGACAAGGGTCACTCCTGTGATGAAGACATTTGCGACTTGGTCTCGGACATTGGGTGCCTGTTGGTGTATCAACGCCACTGCAGAGTTGCACAGCTTGTCAATCGCCATCTCTGTCATCTGCTTTTGCTGGCTAATGTCCACATAAAGTTTCGATTTCTCTGCTTGCTTATCGTCATCCCGCGTGGCATTCCTCAAATTGTCGTAGACTTTTTGGAATGCGTCTTGGTGGATGTATGCAAGTCCTCCGTTGAGATTGTCCATGGCAGCCATGACAACATCTGCATCGTCTCCCATAAGCTCGGCCAAGGTCGCGAAGTGATTTGTGCCCTCCATCAGGCCTGTCGCCTGTAGCGTCTTGAAGAAAGTAAAATCCCCACTCCTGCTGGCTGCATGAAGGTTGTGCCTCACAAGCGCTATGCGCTGTGTCCAGTGAAGCTGTTTTGTCTGTGCAGATGCCATTTTTGAAAGTGCTTCGACTGAGTCACAGAATGGCTAATAGTTGGCGTAGTCTAGATTGTTAATGCCAAGTCGAAAGCATACAGTATGTACAAGAAAGTAGCAAAAGCAGGTTGTTCGGGTCTCGGACACGGCACGGCTTCACAAAATACACTCACTGAAGGTATATGCGCTCTGTCCTCATTGTTACGATAAGCCTCACCACGATAGTCTAGATGTTCTACGGCGACACCGCGAAAGACTTGGTATCAATTACCCGATCTCTTGGACCGATGGGGAGTCGCTAGCCACGCTTTTGAGACACACGGGAGTCCCAGATTGGGTAGCGAGGAATGCATGCAGAACCCAGCAGTTCGGAATCTTTGTAGAGCAGCCGCTCGCGGACGCTATCGCTTGCACATTCCTTCGTGCGGGTGTGGACTTGAAACAAAGGACAAAGGCCTCTTTCTCCAACGCACTGGTCTCGTCCACATTGTCGGTAGAAGATGACGATGGATGTGCCTTATTTGTCGCGTGGCAGTTGCTTTATTTCACCAAGATGGTGCCGTTCGATTGGGAGGCAGTGTGCTGTGACCAGCCATAGTGCTGATGCGACAAGAGAGGGTGTGGTAAACACTACGGACAGAAAGACTCAGATGAGGTCGAAGCTTGAATTTGCGCGCAAAGTCGAAGTTGGTGGAGGTGGCTGAGCTTCTGTCGGCGGCATCTTCCGCGCCGGGCGAACTTCAGAAGACCGCCCTGGGCATATACCAATGTTATAGACACATCTAGCGACAAGTGGGATTCAAAGCTCCTGGTCCATTCCACTCAGCCAGAAAAGATAGGAAACCCTGGATAATGGCAAGCTCACACTTCGAGACCCATCAATACACATCAGAGTACTTCGTAGAGAGTGCAGGCACGATTCTCTTCAGACTCTCAACTCGCCAGATTTGCTTGGTCAAGCACCATAAGCGCAATGAGTACCTCCTACCAAAGGGCAGAAGAAATGTCGGCGAGAGCCGCCAGGAGACGGCAGTACGCGAGACACGGGAAGAAACAGGCTTCCCGACCAAATTACTGCCAGTGACTTTTCGGACCCATTGTACTCCAAACGTGGAGGAGACCGAATTTACGCCGGACAAACCACGCAGGTTTGAGAACATCGTCGAGCCGTTTATGGTTGGGCACCGAGTCATCCCAAATGCTGGCGTTAAGCTTATTTGGTGGTATATTGGAGCCATTGATGAGGAAGCTGTTTGTGGGAAGGGAGAAGAACAGTTCTCGGCAGAGCTGTTCAGCTTCGACGAGGCTCTCAAAGCTTTGCATTATCAGCAGGATCGAGATGTTGTGGCCCGAGCAATCGAGGTCTTTGAGGAGACCTTGGGAAGCGACCAGAAGGGCTGAGCGTCGGTCTCGACGTTTCTTGACAGTATCGAATGGGGTCCTGGAGTACTGCGCGGAATCGATGTTCTTTTCGCTATCAGTTTGTCCGTCTTACTCGTGATGTTTTGAGACGTTTTCAACGCGAGTAACGCTGCGTAGAGAGACTTCCACAGCTTGCTAGATCGATAGAAATGTGGCACGCCAGAGTGAGGCCTTGCTCGAAGGATCCGAGTCATACTCGATTTGAGCAGTAAGAACGCTCCCAATGATTCTCACTCATCTAGCTGCCACGCATATTCGAGGGCCTCGCGGTCTTTGGCTTTGTTTCGCGCAGCGAACCATTTCCGCTCAAATCCATTGCCTCGATCCACTCCGTCCCATCTCCAGCCAGGCCGTATCCCGTATCTATTTGGCTCAAAAGCGCCTTGGTAGGACTTGCCACTGGCCTTGCCCTTTCCACTTTTGCTGCTGCTCTTCTTTGTTGTTAGCAGTTGTGCCATCGGATCATTCCACCTCTCCCTATCCTTTAGCTCCTCATTCATCTTCTCGTCATCTGCATGCCTCGCAACAGTCATGACCTTTGCACCTTGGAGCTCTTGTCTTCGCTCCTCCTTCTGTCGCCTTTGAACATCACCCTTTCTGCTCTCCAACTCTTCTTGCTGTTTTCGCTCTTCTTCTCGTGCCTTTTCTTCGGCTTCTTCCTTTTTCTGCTTGACATTAATCATGCGGCCCGAAGCATCACGATAGATAGTCTGCTGCGCCAACCCTCCCGAATCCAGCCCGGCGGCCTTCATCGCGTTCATCTCTTCCTTCTGCTTCTTCTGGAGCGCTTTTGAGACCTGCTCGGCTGTCTGCAAACCAGCGAGGGCTCCATTTGCCATGACAGGTCCATCGTATTCTGCTCCGTCTTCGCCAACCACCGCAGGATCATCGTCATCCTGCTGTGCTCGGGCTTGCGATTCTTTTCGCGCTTGTGCTAGAATTGCATCGGCCTCTGCCTGGTCTGAGTCTTTCGGAGCTTCTGCGCCTATCCTGATCCATTTCGACTTTTTGGATGGCTTATTCAGCCCACCTGCTAATGCGCCCACTATGGTCGGCGCATCGTCGTCCTCATCGGCATTTTCTGTTGGCTTGGTCCAGGTATTCGCATCGTCGTCGGCGATTGTAAGCCCCTCTGAATGCGCTTTGCCCTTTCTTTTACGCTTCTTCGACGGCTTCGCATCTGCTGAGAGATAGTTCTTGGCAAGATAGTCAGCCAAAGTCATGGTTGTCTGGTGTTTCGAGAGTTGTTGCAAGTGCAAGGGCCGATCTGCGAAAGTGACGTCTCGTGAGATCGCGGTCCAAGCGCGCCTGTAGTGCGAACTCTAATTTCCCTGCATTTCTTGCGCCCTGTTGCACTCGGCGGTGAACAGTACAAAAACAATGTGCCGCACAATCGGGATGCCGCGAGAGAGATCGGATGAAGCTGAGGCTTGGTATGCCGCTGTCTATCAAGCTGTCCAGGAGGTGCCCTACGGACACGTGACTTCTTATGGTCACATCGCTACGCTGCTCGGCTATCCGTAAGTACAGGTATCAGGATCATGAATATTTGAAGCAGAATGCTCAACAAAGGTCATTCTAGCGAGCGACCCAGACAAGGTATGAGAGTCAGGTAGTATCTAAGCAAGACAATCTGACCTGCGCGATAGTCGGGATGTGCCTGAAGTATCTGCCACGAGCGACCGATCAATGCGATGCTCGCTACAACAGCGATACAGTGCCATGGCAGCGGGTGATCAACTCCAAAGGAATCATCAGTCCGAGGCAAGTCTGCCCGTCACGGTGATGGCTTCGCGCGAGCTCTGCCTGCTGACCTCTGACGCCTGCAGAGGGACGAACGGAGCTGCCAGACAAGAAGCTCAACTTAATCTCGAAGGCGTCGAAGTTGGTCGAGGGCCTCTGGGCGAGAGGACGGTCGACTTCTCCACCTATGGCTGGTTTCCGAACACGCTGCCAAGCGAGGAGAGCTCAGGGTGGAGGGTGTAGGCGGTTCAGCGGCCTCTAATCCGTGACTCCGTGGCACCGTGCAGACCGCATTCGATTGCAGCAAGCGAAGAGATGCTGGAAGTTGGCGGGTTCACATCAGCAGACGCTGGCGACTGTGATTGCTGGCCTTGCTGTGACGAATGATTGCTTCACGTGCTCCACGGCACGGCAGTGACTGAGGAATGTTGTGCAGCCCTGAGCCATCGTTTTACCCGATATAGCGCAAAATGACGTCCGAGCTCGAGCACCCGCAACTCCGCCTTGCTGGGCTTGCAAGTTGCAACATCAGCGCTCACCACAACAAAGCTCAGCTTTCCGGTTTCGAAACCACCCGAGGCAGACATGGACAGCCGCCGCACCCGTAAACCAACCGCAGTGCCACGTTCAGCGTTCCTGACAGCCATGACGAATCGTTCAGGACGTGGGTCACTTGAATCAGCGCGCCCGCGCCACGCAGCATGACCTACCTTATCGCTACTCCCCACATCCGGGTAGCCTGCCTTGAGGTTATGCCTTGGATAAAGGCAGTTGTTTACGCCCATTGACGTGCTTTGTGCTGCTCCCAACGCCATCAATTGACCGAGCTCACCTCACAGCTTACTCCTCATTCCCCCTACGAAGCGAGAACGCGTCCGTCCGTATACGATCACCGCATTCCCAGACCGAGACAACCGCACAAGCCTCGTGACTCAGCTTCACGAGCGCAGTCACGACTGCCGCTTGTTCTAGACAACGCTGTTGCCCGTGTCTTTGATAAGCCGTCTTGCGGGCGATCACGTACTGCCATTCTTTGTTTCCTTCAATACACCTAAGATAACCACCTACGACATCCTCTACCTCGTACACTCCCACATCCACGACCATCACAACAGACATCAAGGTGCCCATTCAGTCCCCTTCGGCGGCTAAGCGATCTACCAACACTCAACTCGACCACTCCAACAGTACGGAACGCTCTTGCGTTCAAGCCACCATGTCCTCTGAGCAGACCTTCTCCAACGCCGATCTCCGCAGCACTGCTCAAGACTACAAACGCGACGCTGCACACAAGCACAAATGGGCTCTCGGTGCCGTTGATGGCACTGGACGAGCACAGGGCAAGCCACGGCCTCAGCGCGTGTCGGAGAAGTGAGTGTCATACTTCATGCACATGCACATGCACATGCACCTGCAGCTAACAACGAGCCAGTGAGTACATTTTCCGACGCCGCGCTGAGAAGGGCGAGGTAGCTTCCTACGCCCAGGCCGCGAAGGTGGCTCGCAAGCACGACATGCTCGACGGTGCAGCCATTACGGATGACTCCTCTGGTAGCAACAGTGATGAGTACGACGAGACTCCATCGCCACCTGTCGACGCTGGCGTGACCTACTCCTTCGATGCCGTTCGATCACCAACCAAAGGAAGCCAGATCTTGAATGTCGCCCTCGCCAAAGCCGTCGAGAAGTTCGAAGAGAGAGAAACTGTCAAGCTGGTGAAGAGCGAGTATGAGCTCCTCGACTCTGACGGCGAGACAATGGCGCCTTCTCCAATGAAGCCAGAGAAGAAACGCAAGGGCAAGAAGGCCGAGTCCGCGGTGGTCGTTGGTGAGGATGAGGACTACGAATTTGTCTAAGCTTCCACATGCACCGCTCGTCGACGATGATACGATTGTATAATGCCCCGTGACATGGCGTTTCGGTTGGATTGTTCTACTACTTCTACACCCGCCACCACAGTATTGATTGGTTTGCATTTCGGTGGAATACGTCGAGGACAGCATAGGAAATGGCGTTACATCAGCATGGTCATGAGAAGAGCTCCCGTGACTTTTGGGGGCGTTCTTTGAGGACATGAACTTTGCGCGATACCCTATTAGCAGAGTTAGTACAGACAGCAGCAGTTGACGAGCCTGTCAATTCCGAATGAATCATTTGAGTCTGCGGTCAATTGGCCGTAGGCAGAATCGAGATGATCCTTGTTTCCTTATCATCGGAGGAATCGTTGTGTGTCGCGGTGTCCGTAGGTAGCCTGGCTCCTTTCGAGTCATCAAAGCTCGATTCTGTTCCGCCGAGCGGCGTACCTGCTCCGTGAGCCCGAGCAAATAATGTCTTGCGTGAGCCAGTAGCTGGGTTTCCCTTACTGACCAGAACAACGATGTGGTCACAAGCCTTCTCCCACATGTCATTCGACAAGGGCCCTGCTCGCGCTCGCTTCTGCCTGAGGTGTGTGTGTGGCTGAGCCCGTGTCGGCGCGTATATTAGAATAATTCATTGTCTCACACTTCACACCTCATCTCTTCCTTTGACATTGAAGCTGGGCTGTTCTGCTGTCTGGTCGATGAATAGCTGCGGCCATCGATCAATGCACGCCTCATGGCCTGGAATAGCGACCTCATACACCAATACTGCTGCATTTGCCCACCTCGAACAAAGTGCCGTGTCGTCGTCACAAAGGCGCGCCGACGTTCGTGCATTCGAAATCGGCGTCCGTGATGGGTATCTGGCTTTGCTATTGACAGCTTTCTGCAGGCCTGATCCTTGCAAAAGAGGCTTTTGCCATAATGATTCGCCCAGGAGTTTCGCAGGCCGATTCGATACATGGTCCTCCTGGTCGGGACTGCGATTGCCTTTGTCAAAACGGGATCGCTTTCAACGATGATTGTCGTGTGAAAACATTCTTGTGCTGAGAAGAGAAATGGTCTTGTGCAGACCGGTGAAGAATGTACTCCACTCGGCGAAATTTGCGGCTCGCGTTGTACCCGTCAAGGGACGAGGAAGGCTGAAGAAGCTAAGCTGAGGGCAGGACTCCGGCGTAGCATTTCTGTGCCACTGCCATCCCACACCCTTTTCGACACCTCTCCTGGTGCCTAAGGCATATCATAAGGCATCAGGCTGTAGACTGGAGTCAGAGACATGGCAGACAACGCAAATCGTGGGCGCTCCCTTCTGAGATTTGCAAATGACTGTGAAGATGCCGCCGCGGGCCTGCATCGCTTCCGGGACGCTCTGCCTAGGAATGCGACGCGAATTACTGCCGTTGTAGGCGAGCTCTTCGCGATCAGCTCGGCCTTGAGACAGATCCACACTGGAGAAGGCATTCGCAGCTATGGGCCATCCTTCTACCGCATCGACGATGATCTGCAACTGGTGTTCCCGTCGTTACAACGTACCGTGCACGACATCTTCGACATGTTCGCACGTGCTCACGAAAGGCCAGAACAGACCGTGTGGGAGGACATGGGCCATCAACACGAAAGGGTTGAGAAGTTTGGTCTCCTAGAGCGTCTGGAATGGTATCGAGACTTTCTAGATGTTCAGTTCGACATATTGCAAGGTCGACCAATCGCGGATCCTGATAACCTCAGGGACCATATCGCAGACCTTTTGGAAGCACAGCAGAAGGCAAGACGCCGTGCCAGTCGACAATCTATGCCTGTTCCTGAAAATGACTATTCTGGTGAGACACTTCTGAGCTTAGCCCCATGAGCTGGTCAACACTAACATATGGCTATCTAGGAGCAAGCACGCCTCGACCACGACCACGCAGGACATCAAGACCGACAATGCCTCCTCGTATCAACACGCCCAGCACGCCCACTGTAGCATCTGATGTGTCTTGGGAGTCCCCTTGGAACCTTACGGCACGACCCTATGCTCCGGAGCCTCCAGTACCGCCTTTGATGTTTCCCCCAACTCCAGGTTCACCAATGTCTCCCATGTCACCTGTCTTCAGCAACTTCACATCAAGCTCGTCTCAGACAGCATCAAGCCACACCTCATATTCAACGACCGATCCATACGCGCCATCTGCACTCGTGCACTGGGCCGACGACATTTTCGACGGTCAACACCCGAACACACAATATCGACCCGATTACCAACTGAGCGATCGCTCAGCATGTTATGGTCAACCCGACCAATATGCGCTCGAGCACCTCTCTCGCGACGGGTTTCAAAAGGTCCTAGAACTGCCCTTCGACGAACGAAAGCTCTGGGTCCGGCTCTACTGGCGCCCGAACGACTTCCGCGCACGTCTCCTCATCCTGAGCCAAACCAGTTCCGGTACCCAACAACACTGCTGCCAGCCTCTCACAGCCCTCAAAATCATCCGCCGCGCATCAACTCTCCAACTATGCCAAGCCTCAAAATCCAGCACTCGCTACAAACTCTGGGCCCGTCTAAACTTCCTCCTCCACGAACGCATGGTCCTCTTCTACTCCACCCTCATCGCAATGAAACACCAAGACAAACGCGGAATCCCTCACACCAGCCTATCCGACGCCTTCGAACTCGAAACCTCGGACGGAGAAATCGTCTTCTTCGCAGGCGAAATCCAACACAACGACATGCTGCACGCATTACGAATTTTTCGAGATCGCGGTTCCGGCGTCGTTAGACTTGAAGTTTCCGCTTTGCGTGGTCCGAGGAAACATGTGCCTATTTGGACGGCTTTTGTTACGAAGTATTCTGATGCGGGCGATCCGGATTGGTGTCAGTGGGAGGGCAATGGGATTGTCAGTTTGGCTGCGATTAAACCTGCGCCGCCTTATGTGTTTATCTCGAGGTATGAGCCTCCTAAGCATGGACGGAATTGGATTTTGCCGTTTACTACTGATGAAGGTGAGTTGAGACGTCTTATACTTTGATATGGTATGCTGACTTGACGAGTAGATGCTAGGATGTTTGTTGAGAGTTGGGCGGGGTTGTGTCAACGGTATGGGGGTCGTGATTGATTTGAGCATTGCATTCCTTTTTATCTGCGTGGCGTTTATGAGCGATTCTCCTCTTTATCTTTATGTCTGCTTTGCTTTCCCCCCCCCCCCCCCCCCCGGGCGATGAAAAAATGGAGCGTTTGAGCGAATCTATACATGATGACGAGATACGATATGATGACGAAGCTACGAATGCTGATGAGGGTATGGATATGAATTTACGAGTTGACGACTGGAGCTTGCCATCGCACATTGCACGGAAATTTAACTAGATTCGTTCGTTTCAGCGCATGAGAATTTCCGATCGAGTCGCTAGCGAATTCGTTCATTCCATCCTCATTATACATGTACCCTCTAAGAGTTTTCCACACTCTACCTAGTCGAGATTGATATGGCATGACGCCTTTACAAGCACGACGAAGAATGTATGAGGATAAGGTGTCGTAGATGGTCCTGTCCATCCCATTCTCATTCCCAATTCTTAAAACCCTTTCAACCAAAAAAAAAAATTCGCACAATCATAGGGTATGCATCCAACCAAACCAAGACCCCAATCCCAACTCCCAAAATCTCAGTCAAAATCCTCATCCCCCGAATCGCAAACTATCAATAATACCCTCCCCTATTCCCCCCCTCCCATCAGCTCCAGTCCTAACAATCTCAATCCACTCACTCACTCACATCTCCAACCTCAACCCTCACCCCTAACTCTGACTCCCCATCTCCACCCGATGTTTTGCAACACACCTAAGAAACTCCTTTGTGAATCTAGGTTTTCGCCAATACGTTCGACACCCGTGGGCTCGATACGTGGAAAGTTGAGAAATGTAGGCGCGCCAGAAGGGAGACATGCAGTGGAGGTTGGATGTGATGATGAGCATGCGGGAGGGGTGGAGTGAGTGAGTGTGTTGTGAGGTTCCAAAAAAAACATATAATAAAGAAGAAGTAAGTGTCGCGTGCTGACATTCTCCTTTTATTATTATTAGAAGCTTTGCATGTATATATAAACTTCATGACAGTTGAGGCATGAGCCATGAGGGATTTTTTTTGTACTGTATATCGCGCGCGGGAATTACCTCATCAGTCTTATGCCATTGTTACAAAAGAGTGGCGGGCAGTGTCACGACACTTATTTCAGCATGTGGTGGGTAGGTAGTGTGCACGACTGAGCTGAGAGCAAGTGGTGTGAGGACGGGATGGCCGAGTGTGGCATGGCATGAAGGCAGACTGGGGGTGTAAACTCTAAACTCCTCTTTTATAGTCTTCAGCGCAACGACATCCTCCTCCATCAACATCATCATGAAATTACGCCTTGATTTTTCAAAGCTTCGACTTCATTAGGCTCCATACCAAGAATCCCCGTAAGGAGTTCGTCAGTATGTTGGCCGAGCGTGGGTGGTGGCGTTCTGATGCGCGGTTGGCTGTGAGAGAACTTGACCGGCGGCGAGACGAGCTTCATTGGACCGCATGTTGGGTGAAAGATTTCTGTGACCATGCCACGAGCTTGAGCTGTAATTGTTATACATGTCAGCGTTTTACACGAAGATGTAAGTAATCAAAGCAACTTACTATGCTCGTGTTCAAGAGTTTGCTTGACATCGTTGATCGGGGCGTAAGGCATCCCGCTGCCTTCTAGGATGTCGAGCCACTGCTGAGTGGTTTTTGTTTTTGTGATGTTTTCGATCAGATCTTCGAGCTCGTCTCTTCGTTTTACGCGATCGGGATTGGTTTTGAATCTGGCATCCTGTGCCCATTCTGGCTTGCCGAGCTTTTCGCAGAGCACGCCGAATAGTCTGTCATTTCCGCCGCCGAGAAGAATATCACCGTCCTTTGTTTTGAAGCCTTTGTATGGCACGATGGATGGATGCGCTGTTCCCCATCGTCCGGAATCAGGCTTCCCGCTGATCAGACAGGAGCTCGCAATGTTGGCGAGTGTGGCGATCTGGCAGTCCGCAAGCGCCACATCGATATGCTGTCCTTTGCCAGTCCTGCCCCGAGCAATGAGAGCGGCCATGACTGAGTTTGAGGTATAAAGACCAGTGGTCAGATCTGTCACGGCGACGCCGACCTTAGCAGGTGGCCCATCTCGATGTCCTGTGATGTGCATCAAGCCCATTTCAGCTTCAACCATCACGTCGTAGCCTGCTCGCTTGCTGTGAGGACCCGTCTGGCCGTAGCCGGTTATGCTAGCGTAGATAATGTTCGGGTTGACTTTCGAGACGCTTTCGTAATCCATGCCGTACTTCTTCAGTGCTCCGGGCAGATAGTTCTCCACCAGGACATCGCACTGCTTGGCCAGCTTGTGCAAGATGTCAACGCCGGCTTTGTCCTGGAATGACAGGCCAATCGACTTCTTGTTGCGGTTGACCTGGAATGATTAGTAATGACGAGTCACGAGGAATGATTCAGGTCGTACTGCGAGAAAGTACGCTGCCTCTCCGGGTCCTTGCTGTCCACTCTGCTCAGTATATGAAGCATATGGAGGACCCCAAGCTCTCGTATCATCGCCTCTCGTGGGATGTTCGATCTTGATGACTTCTGCTCTGGTCAGGAAATCAGCTCCAGTCCAGCTGGGCGACCTGGAAGTGGTCGTACTCAACCGTACCCTAGGTCTCCGAGGATTTGTGTGCAGTACGGCTGGATGTGTCAATGGCGTGGGCATAGCACGATTTCCAGGTCTGGACAACTCACGCCGGCCAGCACGCGGGTCATATCAAGCACTCTCACGCCCGCAAGTGGCAGTTTCGACGCGTCGACTTCCGTGGCAAGCCATCTCTTCTGACAGACTGCTCGGCCCGGGATCTGGAAGCGTGCTGGCTGACTAAAGAGCCGCAGCGATCGTTGAAAAGACATTGTTATTGTGCGAAGATCGAGCGTCACCTATACAATCAGCTGCTATCGTGCATCGTCGTTGGTGTGCTTGGAAAGTGCAGGAGAGAATCCACACCTCGGTTCCACGGTGTCGTTCCTGCCGATCTCGGCGTTCGCTGGGTGAATGACGCTTGCACCCACCAAATCACGCCTTCTCCTCCTCCACCACCAAGACATGACATTGATACAACATGTTCACCGGCATTGTTGAGATCATCGGCAGTATGTCTGGTTTTGTTTTTCATTTTGGTGAAGCTGCGCTGACGCTCGGCCAGCTGTATCGAAGCTCGTCGAACTCGATGACTCCTCCAGCGGCGGCGGCGGCACCTCCTTGACCATCAGCGGTGCTGCTGAGATCTTGGGCGATTGCAATCTGGGAGACAGTATCAGCATCAATGGAACGTGCTTGACTGTCACCGAGTTCAGCAAGGATGACTTCAAGGTTGGCGTGGCGCCGGAAACATTGAGACGCACGAATCTAGGCAAGCTCAAAGAGGGCAGCGGTGTCAATCTGGAGCGTGCCGTGAGTGCGAGCACGAGGATGGGAGGTCATTTTGTGCAGGGTCATGTGGATACCGTGGCCACTATTGCCGAAAAGAGACCAGACGGGAATGCTGTCACATTCCGCTTGGCGCCCAAGGACAAGAGTGTCTTGCGGTATGTGGTTGAGAAGGGATACGTCACACTCGATGGAGCGTCTCTGACCGTGACGGAAGTGAATGATGCCGAAGGCTGGTGGGAGATTATGCTGATTGCTTACACTCAAGAGAAGGTGGTCATGGCCAAGAAAGAGAAGGGGGAGGATGTCAATGTTGAGGTCGACATGGTTGGTAAATATGTGGAGAAGAGCGTGGCAGCATATTTCGAGGGCAGCGCAGGCAATGGAGGCGCCATGTTGGAAAAGATGGTGTCGAATATTCTGGATCAAAAGCTCAAGGCCTCCAGGTAGGCTTCCGTACTCACTCATGATCGTCTCTGTGTAAGCAAATTCTCTACCAGCACCTATCATAGGCAAGGAAAGCAGATCGACCCAGTGCCTGAAAACTCGCAATGGAGAACACGATCGACCAGCAAATTCTTCTTTCGCACCATTTGACGCTTTCGATCTCGACTATTGAATCGAAGTGTTTTGGTAAGCCTTAACCTCAAGAACAGTTCTGTACGCAAGCACGAACGTCCTTGGGGAAAGTACTTCAAGGTTGTGAGAAACGAGGGCGTGAGATTGGACAATGTTGTGGGTGTTTTTGAGAAAGCTAGTACAGAGTGGATTAATCATTAAGCGGTTGAGGAGGGCTGGGGAGACTGTCAAATTTGATATTCTGGTGACACGAGAGGTGTTTGGTTTTGCGAGAGATCGGGGAACTATGGGATTACGAGAAGATTGAGACGGCGGGGATGAATGAGACGTTACACATGATGAAGATCAGAAAAGGGTATCATTCAATTCAAGTACTGCGGTTGACGGCGTTCCATTCATACGAGCAGTATCTACTGACACCAGTTCGCCATGCGCCAATTGCATATTTCCCAGCATCAAGACCACATGTCATCAGTCCGTCAACGCCATATGCAGATTTTGGGTGAGAAGAGCAAGCCTAGTTCATCTGGCGGATGAGCTGGTTGATGTACTCTTCACGGTTGCCAAGGTCACCACCCTCGATGAAGTGACGGAACTTGCGCTTGTGGAAGCCGCCAGTTGGGTTGGAGAGCTTGAATGGCCAGAGGAAGTTGGAGGCCTGCTTGAAGTTTGGTCCGACAGTGTAGATTTCGTGGATCAGGTCCTCCATGCAGACGATGCCGTACTTGCCAAGGTGCTCCTCGATGATGGAGTTGTCGGTGAGAGGAATGCGTTGCTTCTGGCCGGTCTTGGCGTATCCGCGCTTGTAGATGAGCTCACGAACAGACTTGAGGTTGGGGTAACCGTAGGCGACGAATGGCTCGACGATGCGGAGCATCTCGGCGGTAGCCTTGGTCAGGCGGACGAAGACACCATTGTTGATCTGGAGGAGACGGAGAAGCTGGAGAGTCTTGCGCTTCTTTGGGTCGATCTTGTTGATACCCTTGATGCGAATGACGAAGACGAGCTTGGCCTCCTCTGGCACGTAGTAGCTGCCCTCAGACTTGGCAACGCGGGCGAGGCGGATGGCCTCACGCTCCTTGTCGCGGTACTCCTTGACGTAGGACTCGGCGCGCTTGAAGATTTGCTCGCGCTTCTGCTTGTTCTCCTATACATAAGCAGTCAGCTATTTGTTCCAAGACTGCCCTTGTGAGTTGTGTCGAGGAAAGAAGTCGAAGCAAGATCAGTCCCGAAAGATGGTTAACTATAGGACAACACCGCCCGGAGGCTAGTCGCTATGGTTGGTAGATATCATCACCAAGTGCTGGGCGGGTGCAGTGGGAAAGACCAACCTTCTTGCGAGCCTCGCGCTGCTCGGCCTTCTCGGCGCGCTCCTTCTCCTGGCTCTTGCGCTTCTTGAGAAGGGTCTCTGGCACCAAGATGTCGTTCTGGGATGGAACGCTCCTACCTGGATTGTTAGTCGGCCCGCATGTGTGATGTTGCTCAACGCGAAGAATTGCGGCACAGTGGTCTGCTGGCTCTCATGCATTCTCCGCTGAGCACTCATCGAAGAGTGTTATTTTGATCAGTGGGACGAATCCCATCCGACAAACCCTCGCTAGGCGAGAATGTCAGCTCTTTCGAGCGACAATGACAGATGTTTCCATGCTGTCTGATACCATCCCACATTCTGACGCGCCAGAGTTTGACAGCGTGCAGGACTGAGTTGGCTTATGGAGTATGAATTTGCTGCTGCATTGGAGCGAGCATTTTGAGCGGTAGCGGACCGACTGTGCTGCAAATTCGTCGCGCCGTGTAGATGCGCTTACGCTTTGGTGGAGGTCTGCTTCTTGGGGGCCATTGCGACGGTGTTGGCGATGGGCGATGGGAGAGATACCGGAGTCGTTGGGCGTACAGAGTAGAACGTCGGTGCGAGCTTTGTTACAATAGCCTGAAAGTGGTCCAGTTGTTTCTATACCTAATACCCCTTTGTTTGCTTTAGTGGTTTGCTTGTTTGACCTACCACAGCAGACCCAGAAGAACTTGGAGAGTGTGTGTGTGTAGCTGGCTATTACGTGCATGATGCCTGAGGCTGCAACTGTGCACACTTTATCTTTGGGCTTTCTGTAGATTAGCCCTCTTCTGAATACATCACAGTTTACATTAAGTGGTTATGAGCCCCCTGCGTTTCCAACGCCTCCAACCGGCGCGGCGTGGGCCTCAGCGCCTTCTCCAATGCCGCCATCTCCTCCGACAAGTATGCCGCACATGGTGCTGCCCTCCGCTCCAACCATGCCGACGCCCTCGCCAACCAGCTCGCTGTCTTCCAAGCCGCCCTTCATAACTTCTCCCTGACCCATGCCAAGGACATTCGCAGCAATCCCACCTTTCGTGCTGAGTTCGCGCGGATGTGTCATGCTATTGGTGTTGACCCGCTGGCTGGTAGCAATACCAAGGCACGCGAGGCAAGCGGCAAGGGCGGCAGCGTCTGGGCGAAAATGCTAGGCACGAGCGTGAACGACTTCTACTTCGAGCTCGGTGTAAGGCTGGTGGAAGTATGTCGTGAGAGTCGAGGAGAGAACGGGGGCATGATTGCTCTTTCCGAGGCAAGGAAGAGAATTGCTTCGGGGAGAGGTCTTGTTGGTGGTGGCATTGATGTCACCGACGACGATGTGCAAAGGGCATTGGAATCTCTGGAGCCTCTGGGTGGACAATTCAAGATTGTCCAGCTGGGAAGCATCAAGTATATCCGCAGCGTGCCCAAAGAGCTGAATCCTGATCAGTCAACAGTGCTGGAAGTCATCCAAGTCATGGGATTCATCACCGTATCTATGCTGCAAGCGAACTTGGACTGGGAAGGCGCCCGGGCTATGGCAGTCATTGATGACCTTGTCGCTGATAGTCTGGTTTGGGTGGACGATCAAGCTGAGGAGACCGAGTACTGGAGTCCTGCTAGCATGCACGAAGGCTGACGTGTAGCCTATACGTCCTGTGATTACGCTCATCCCGTCAGCTCATCTCCTTCCTGCATCGACACAGGAGCAGTTTGAGACGTCTATGGCTTCGCAATGCGACTAGCTATGATAGTGCTGCTGGCAAGCCTTCCATCACTGCATTGAAAGCGCTTCTTGATACCACAAAGAAGAAATGCCTGCACCTCGACGCTGCCCTTGTCTGCGACTCGATTACATACATGGATGTGCTCGATCCGCTCACCGGAGCATATTGGAATCGCTCGCTTGCCTGGGAACGGCAACACGGAAAATCTACTGAGCTGGCCCGGCTAGGTCAAGAACTGGGTGCAACGGTCTAGGAGGCGGTTGATAAGTCCCGAACCCAAAATTTCGGCGACGAAAATTTGTACCACAATCTCGAGTATCAATTTGGCTGGGAAGTGCTAAGACCGGAGCTGGGAAACTGTGATTGCCAGAGTTGCTGTGAGGGCGACAATTCGCGTTGCGCTGAGCCGACCTAGGTTGACGCTGTTGAAGAAGAACACGAGTGGGTTAATGCTGAGGAAGAGATGGCATGAAATTGTATCTTGCTGTCGACAGGTTCATAGCCACATGTTGTGCTATAAATGTCCTATTCCCCTCGCGTCTATTTTCTCGGTTCTTCCCGGTTAAACTCCAGTTCGTCTTCGACTTCTTCTCGTTCACTCCCCAGTCTCAACCATATATTATGCAGACTGCCTACTTCAAGGTCGCCCCGTGTTGGTCCAGACGCCGGTGAGGACTGGAAGGTTGCACTTGCCGCTCTACCAAAGGTATTGTGCTGGTCGAACAAAGCTCTTGCCATGTCGATGGATTGTTTCTGTGGCTGAACGTTAAGTTGTCCCTTCCGCTTCTGAACTGATGTTTACTGCTTCACCTGGAAACTTTGCGGGCATAACAGACTTCCGACACGAATAAATCTCTCGATATCGATACTCTCCGAATCGGGCTTCTCGCCACGCCGTTATGTTCTCCTCGCATCTCATCATTACACCATAGCGATCGAGTCATTTTGCGTGCCACATAATGACGGCGCTTCCATATGGGCCGAAATCATCATTACACGCCAACATGGCGCGACGGACACCCGCTTCCTTTGCAGACCTTCCTGTTGAGATGGTTTCCTGGGTGTCTGACCGGATTAAGCATAAGGAAGACCTCCTCAGCTTTTGTCGCGTTAACTGGGAATCACGCAATAACGGTGTTCGCACATTGTTGAATCGGATGCGAGGTATATATATCGAGCCAACAGCAGCGTCGTTCGCTAAATTCAAGACTATTGTCCAAACACCCGCGGTCGCCAGTCGCATCCAAACGATTATATACCTCCAGACATTCCCTCCTTTGGACCCAAAGGCTGTACTACAGCAGGCAGAATTCCACGCGGAGAGGAAACGCCATCAATGCACAATAGCAGGAACATGTAAAGTCATCTGGTGGCTCCAGGACCACCTCAAAGGCTTTTCCATGGAAATGCTCAAGGAATGTCTCATCGAGGCTGTCGAACACCTTCCGAACTTGCAGCACATTGCTATTGCCGCAAGTCCTGCCGCTGTAGAGTATAGCACGATGCAGATTCGCTCGGGCGACCTCCTCAATAGAGACTCGCGTTGGCTAGTCAACGAGGAGGAATCTCGCGGTGCATCGTCAGTCGACAAACTTTGGAACTTCGTGCTCTGGAATAGTTCGTGTAGAGCGAGTCTGGATCCACTCTTGGAAGCCATGGCTCATCATGCAGATTTCCATCCGGAAGTCCAATTGAACTTGACCTTTCAAGGTGGCGTGCCGGTGGGGACCGAAGAGCTTCTCGAATTCGCCCAAGAGCACTCTGTTACCTTCAATAAAGCAATGGCTCACATCAAAGACTTCATTGTCCATGCAGCGCCAGACCACCAGGGACATGATCACGGACCATTCGTTCAAAGCCCAGAAGCATATGAGAGTATGCTGTCCGCGCTGGTCAATATCCAGATGCTCAAAATCATAACAAATAAAAGCGCAGTGCAGCAAGCGGGTGTGCTTGGTGAACTGCTCCGTCATCCCAATCTTCATTTCCGGAAACTCCAGAAGGTCCAATTCTACACACTCGTTCCGATCTTTGATCCTGAGATAGCTTGGATACAGCAGGAATTGGTTCCATTTCTACCCACGGCACAACAACTACTTGACTTCTTGTGCAGGCACAAAACTACGCTGGAGGTCCTGGCACTGGACTCTGTGTCAGGTGTACGCGAAAGAAATCCCCAGGGCCTGCAAATTGAAGGTCTTGAAAGACTTTTACTCCAATTGCGAAAAAGATTTGGTAAGCTATGGTTGATGAGAGTTACCGAGACAGTCATCTACGGGGACCGGGACGATGAGATTGGCTTGCCATATGCACAGATTCTGAAACGAGAGGCCAGGGATGAGGCATTGTCTGGGCTTGGAAAGCTTTCACGTAAGCTAGGCGCGTGGAAGAAAGTGCAGGTTTGCTCCAAAATGAGCGATGGAACGCTTGTGTGCCGGGACTATAGTGAACCGCCAAACGGTACAGATGCTGTCAACGACAGCAGCCATGGGGCCTCAGCAGCAGAGCAGCCCAGCCGGGAAGAAAACTCTGATATTGCAGCTGCTCAAACTGCAGCTGGGATCGATGCTACTGCAGTGCAAGAAGTCAGCACTCATGACTCGAATGACGATAATGACACGGAAGCCAACGCCAGGGACGCGAATCCTACTCTTGTGTCAGAGCATCTCAGCTTTTACTACGAATTCCAATTGGAAGCTGTAAAGTCCTGATATCGTAAATAGAATCTACGCTCATTACCACTGGTGTTTGGAGAATAGCGTAGCTTGTGGAGAGTAAAAAATACCATAGGCTTGTGAAAAATGTTGCAAGAGCATCTTTTCGCGCGAAGTGCTTGAACAGGTGCCTCCAAAATCGTCTTGTCGAATCTCTCTTGCTATTTCATCCCTACGCAAGCACTAATATCCACCTGTCCATGTGGTTTCTAACATTCAAGCGTATTCAATTCCGCCTGTGAGAGCTTGGCGTCTACCTACCTGGTCAAAGCGTCTTTACTCGGCATTTCGCCTCGCGGTTCTTTTTCGCTTCGAATCCGCTACAGAACCTTCGAATTGTGACTTCAGGAGGTCAGTCAGAGCGTAAGTGCATTTGGCCAGCAGTCGCTTGTTCAACATCAAGCAATGTTGGTCCATACGGATTCTCAAAGTTACATTGCGGTACACCTGATGGACAGCAGTGGACCATTAGTGGACCATTATATGACGTCGGCTGGCACGGGCCTTACGATGGTTGGGTGAAGAGGGTCTCGAGGCTCTTTTGATGCCCACCTTTATCCGCCCAGAGTCTCAGAAATACTCCATAGTGCAAGTTTGAGGATACCAATCTGAACACTTATATGTAGGTCCACGAGCTTAATAGAGTTTGTGGTTCGTAGTTTTGAATTTCTATCCATGGATGTGAGCAAGGTTCAGCAGGGGTCCGGGCACATGGGTTCCAGCTTCCAACATCTCGTTACGCTTTGCTGTGAACTCGTCTTCTGCTCATAGCAAGCCGAAACCTTTTGGAGAAGCACAATCAATAGTGCAGCATAACATTCGTGATGGCATATTTGGTTGCATACCTATTGCATTTGACTCTTCTCCCTTTGGCATTCGGCCTGCCCACCGCCAAGACGACGGCCGGCAAGCACTTCAACGGTGTTCTGGCCAGAAGCACGCTCTTTGGGCTTTCGGGTCATGATACCATCGTGTGTCCAGATGCTCGACCGAATCAAGATGAGACTAAAGACGTGGTTCGCTTCGAGAAGTCCGCAATCGAAGCTGCTGCACACCAAGGCCTGCTGGCTCAACCTGGATCCCGTGACGCGAATCCCGGTGGCTATTCCATCGAATTTGAGGATCAGGGTGATGTAAGATTTAAAGACTGCCAAAGCATGAACCTCTATCAGTATCCAATCCTGGCAGACGGGAAGATTTATGGCGGAGGTGATCCAGGTCCATTCCGTGTCGTGTTCCAGGTAGACGACTGGAGCAAGCGGGAAGGGAAATATTGTGGTATCGTGTACCAGGCGGTGAGTTCGGCATGGTCAGTAGCATGGCGAATAGTACTGATTGTCCTCTCTCTGTAGTTTGAGAGCAGGAGCTTCATGCATTGTGAAGATGAGAGTGCTTAGACGATGCGGTGCGGATGTTGAGAGAAGGCTCGAGAACTCAAGCAGCCCCAGGCTAAAACCATCATCGGGGTTCCAAGCACTGGAGTGAGCTGTCACATGCGCCTGTAGATTATTGAATGTGCGTATTAATGGCAAGCATATGTGTGCTGCACGCGAACGAAGTGATGTAGACGCCAAGAGATAGTCGATCTGCACGCAGCCAAGCTTCCGCATAAACTTCGGCTGAACAGGGTTGTCTGATGACGAATGTGAATGGAGCCTTCGAGATTGCCGCCGCGCTCTCTTCTCTTCTCTCTTCAGGTCAGTATTACTGTTCACTTACGCGGGGAGAATCAAATGCTAACAGATGTTCCCAAAGCTTCATACGGAATCAGTCTCCCTTGAACAACCAACATGACCGAAATGCCACACTTGAAGTGGTCTGCGCAGTACACAGTCACAGCACATTCAAGATCACATCCATTGCCTGGCGACAAGATCTTACTACCGCCTTCAGCACTCGAGGCACTTTTGTCTGCTTCTTCGAACCTCGCCGCCGAAACAGCGCGACGCGACCTGCCTCAATATGACCCATACAATTCAGCGACATATTCCGCTTATCGCCAGGCCGAGTCACAATATCAGGACCAGAAACAGCAACTGCCATACCCTTTGACCTTTCGCTTGGTACATCCTGAAAGCGGACGCGTGGTATATGCTGGTATTCGAGAGTTCTCGGCGAGTGAGGGACAGGTTGTGCTCAGCTCATTTTTGCTGGAGACGCTGGGCTTGAGCGCAGAAGACCTGCACAAGCATGAAGACGTTATGCAGATGGACGAAGAGGAAGGCGCTCCGCCAGCCAATGGAGTGTCAGGACCTCAACTTACGGTTCATGCGCGACAGCTACCAAAGGGTACCTTTGTAAAGCTGCGCCCGCTTGAGCCAGGCTATGATCCAGAGGACTGGAAGGCATTACTGGAGCAGCATCTTCGGGCAAATTATACGACACTGACGAATGGTGAAGTCTTGGTAGTGCCGGGTGGACGAGGCGTCGGTGGGCAAAAGGAAGAATATAGGTTTCTAGTGGATGGCTTCAAGCCTGAGGCGGACGGCATCTGCGTCGTGGATACGGATCTTGAGGTTGATATCGAAGCGCTAAACGAAGAGCAAGCACGCGAGACCATGAGACAAATAGCGGCAAAAATGCAGAAAGCGCCAGGAACGGAGAAGGGAAGCTCAGCTGGTGGAGAGCTAGATCTCTTCAAGGAGCAGGCTGGGCAAGTGCTTCCAGGAGAATATGTGGACTACACGCTGCCATCTTGGGACAGGGCACAAGGTCTTGAACTGGAATTGGACGCAATGGATGACGATGAGGATATCAGCATATTTGTCAACCCTCTCTCTGGCACGCAGCGCGCAAAGCCCAGAATAGATGAGTTCGTCTTTGCAGATCTCGACACTCGACCAAGGAAGCGGGTACGGCTGGAGCCCACGAATGCAGAGCTAGAGCATGCTGAAGCTCTTCAAGTCTCCGTTCACGCCCTTGCCTCTGCGGAGAGCCTTGCGAATGGAACGTCAAACAGCGGAGCAGTCGAGCCACGGCATTACACTATACGCGTACGACATCTCGATCCGAAGGCGACTACAAACCATGCAGATTCGATCGATAGCGAGGCGCCTCCAAATGAAGGCGATGTTCGTTGCAAAAACTGCAAGCAGTGGGTACCGCAGCGAACACTGATGCTTCACGAAAACTTCTGTCTGCGGAACAACATCCTGTGTCCGAAAGGCTGCGATCAAGTATTTCAGAAGCGATCGCCCGAGTTTCAGAACCACTGGCATTGCCCTCATGATGAAACATATGGCAACTCGGCGACTACGCATCAACAGCACGACTCAATCTTTCATCCCGCAGATATTCTTCGATGTAGCGATTGCAGCACGGCAGAGACGTTTGCGAATTTGCCAAGTCTCGCTCGACATCGGACAAGCACTTGTCCCGGCAAGCTCATCCTGTGTCGATTCTGCCATTTAGAAGTTCCACAAGAAGGCGATCCCGATGTTCCGAATGCAGAAGCTTTGCTGTCTGGGATGACGCCTCATGAGCTTGCTGACGGAGCTCGAACGACGGAATGCCATCTGTGTTCGAAGATTGTTCGACTGCGTGACATGGAGACTCATCTCAAGAATCATGATCTAGATCGACTGCAACGCCCAGCTCCCACGCCTTGTCGCAACGTCAACTGTGGTCGAACACGAGACACCTGCTCGAAGAGCGGCGACACAAGAGCAGGCTCCCGCATGGGTCAAGGCCCTGGGAACGACGTCGGCCTCTGCTCTGTCTGCTTCGGACCACTCTACGTCAGCATGTACGACCCCGACAACAAAGCTCTTCGCCGCCGCATCGAACGCCGCTACCTCCAACAACTCCTCACCGGATGCGGAAAGCCTTGGTGCAAAAACGAGTTCTGCAGAACAGGCAGGAAGAACCTCGAACTCAACCCGAACATCACCACGAAAGATGCTCTACCTATGGTCAAGCCATTTCTGGATGTGGCGCAGGCTACTACTCCTTTGCATTTCTGTGTTGACGAGCAGAGTCAGAGGCAGAGAAATCTTGCGGCGATGATTGCTGCTGAGGACGCTGGTCCTGCGGGTAAAGGTGGGTTTGCTTTTGAGTGGTGTCTGGGTGCGCTTGAGGCTGAGGGTGGGGATTTGGACGGTGCTAGACAGTGGTTGAAGAATTGGGCTCCGGCGAGGGGCGAGGAGAGGAGATGAGTATCTCACATAGGCAGAAGACCTCGAACGACAACGCTCAGGTTTGCATGCAATGTCGTTGAATTATGTGTCTTGACACGAGCTTGTAAATTTTTGACTCGGACGAGCGATTCTATGCCTCCTAGTCGACGTCTGCCATCAGCATGCACGTGATAGTAGTGAGCATATTCATCACAGGCCTGCATCCATGAGGTCGACTGTGAATAACGTTATGTGAGCACGACGAAAGACGAAGCATCCAATCGGCCCGAGATCGAAAGGCAAATGTCGCCAAGACCGCGCCCCAGAGTCCCAGGCCAGGCAGGTGACTTGCATCAGTAGCCCCGATTCTTCCAGCCGCACAGGATACCGTCTCTTGAGGGTGACATCCCTCCTCTCAGCATCTAGATCACATCAACAATCTGCTCATCCTCGTCCTCAGCCTCGGTGATCTCCTTTACCCTCGACTCCCCAGCACCAGCTTGCGCAGCTCTCATCTCTTCCTCAGGACTCGGATCGCCAGGCTCGCCCCTCATCAAAACCTGCACCAAACGATCACAGCCCTCTCTCACATTCTCATCCTCGACATGCTGATGCACTTCCCTCACAATCGGATAGACTTTCACATCCCTCAGCCTCTTTCGACCCTCAGGCGTAGATGACAGCAGTAGCAAAGTCTCGAGATGCAGACAGATGATGTCTGGCTGCTTCTCGCGTTCCTTGTCGGGAGGCAGAAGTTGGCATTCGTCGAGCATGCCTTCGGTATCTTCGTCCGAGTACTCTTCGCTGCCCATGAGTGGGAGGAGGATGTATGGGAGAAGACCGACGCCGCCTTCTTCTGCGTCCTCCAGCAGGGTGGGATGTGAAGGCACGTCGAAGGAGACATTTTTGATTGTGCTTGCTACACCTCGTCTTCGGATTGTGGAGGCGTGTTCGGTGAAGACGATGAGTTTCGTGATGGGCACAACCTTCTCCGCTTCATCGCCTTCCCCTTCTGATCTTGGCGTCAAGAAATGCTTTCGACCTTGTTCGTGCTTGGCGAGATCAGCGAAGAGGTAGCAGAGGTAGTCGTAGTTGGCATCCTTGTTGTACGAGCCTTCAGCACCCTTCACGAAGCAGTCGAGCAGCTGGTCTATCGCAATAGGCGATGTTGACAACGGCTTCGGCACATCTCGCTTCAGAATCAGCAGTTTCGTGATCGTGTCATGCTTAGCCATATTGGCCAACACCATGCACATGAGATCTGCATTGGGCTCTTTCTGACTCTGCCCTGATCGTCAGCATATCTCACGCCATAGGACTTCACACAAACAGCAGAATCTCGAACCACTGACATACGGTCACCCTCCGTAATAACGACTCGATGAAGCCATCATCCTCTGCTAATGACTTGACTACTTCTGCATCTTCCGAAATGTTGACCAATATCGTCAAGGCGTTCTTGGCAATCGGCGGGTAGTCTTTGAGCAGAAGTTTCAGGTCTTGGACGGGCGCGAGTTGATTTCGCCTGAACAGCGATGGCTGTGCTGTTGAATAGCCCACGAGGTGTTCGGCGGCTGAGGGCAGGAGTCAGCTGTCGGGACCATGCATGGGATTTCTGGCTCACATATTACCTACCGATCTGGCGGATTTGGGTGTTGCCGTGGTGCAGAAATTCTACGAGCTGGAAAATGGGAGTCAGGCTCATGACAGCGACATCTGCATTGATGATTTCGACTCACTTCTTCCAACTCCGTCGGCATTTTGCTTTGCGATATGACATGTGTCAAGTTTTTTGAGGTCTCGCTTGCTGTTCGGCATCACCCGCCACAGCTCCGAGGCGTTGTTGATCCTTTGACCATCTCGAACCGACAATTCCTCGTCTTCCATCCTTCGCTGTCCGTGCAGCCTCACCTCACAATTAGCACGTGAGGCCTAGGAGAAGTCGTTCGCGCCGGCATCACGAGCTCGGATTACCAGCAATCGAATGCGCATACAATGAGCAACGAGCAACATACCAATCCGCGGAGGATATCGCCGGCGCAACCATGTTCCAGGTTCGTGCATACCAGTGCACTACTCGCGGTACGAGGAAAGTTTGGTGCTGATTGTGACTCTGTACAGCGCCTCCAAGGCCTCCAGAAAGGCTTCAATCTCGATTTTCTGGACAACAAGATAGCCGAGGAGCAGGAGAAGCAGAAGCAAGACAAACAGCAGAAGTCGGGCTCGCCTGCAAAGCGCACTCCGAGCAACGCAACAAGGACGACGAGTGGTAGGACAGATTCTCCGAGCAAGAGACCATCCAGTCGACTGCGCGTCCCTGAAGGCAAAGATGGATCGCCAGCGAAAGCGCCTGATCCAGATGATTTTGTTATTGGCGACGATGAGTCAGTAAACAGTCTGAGCAGGATCCCTACACCACAGCCAATATCGAAAGATGGCGAAGGCGACGAGCGGAAAGATGGAGGCAAGCAGGATGAAGGCCAGGCTGAGGCAGGCGACAAGGGCAAGGAGAAGGCGCGAGATGCAGATGAGCTGCCGCAGGAAGTACAGGTGAAGCTACGCAAGCTGGATGCGCTGACGGCGAAATATCAAGGTATGCTCACGTCCCGCGCACCATCGCTACATCGTGATTGGCATTTATTGTTTTACTCACAGAATTCCACTTGTATAGATCTGCTAAGGAACTACCGCACCGCACACCAACGAGTCGCTGCAATCGAGCCTTTCGAGGCCACGCTACGAGAGCACACTTCGCTGACGTCCATCGACGATCCTGGAGCATTGATCGAATTCCTACACCAGCGAAAACAGCAGACGGACATGACCATGGCCGAGCTGAGGCGAGTATTCGACAAGCATCAGCAGACAATGAAGGAGCGAGATGAGCTCAAGATCAAGCTGCAAAAGGCGGAGCAAGATGCCAAGATCGCTTTTGATGAGGCTGCTGGGCTGCGTCAGGAGCGTAACGAGCTGGAGGCAGAGCCACAAAAGTCTGTGTCTACTTCAGAGGTCAAGCAAGCTCCTACTGAAGCCGCAACAAGTTCTGCGAAGGATGAAGGCGACTTCTTCTCATACGAAGACGAGGTCTCGAAGGCTGCTGAAGAAGGCGCAGCGACAGCCACAAAGGCTAAAGCTGAAGAGACAACGTCGAGCGCGAGCGAAGATACCGCTTTGGTGCACGAGGCCAAAGTCAAGGAGCTTGAGACTGAAGTCGAAACGCTGAAGGTGGAGGTCAAAGAGCAAAAGGACTACATCAACGAACTCGCTACCGAAAATGCAAACATGCGCCATGAGTTCCTGATCGCTCAGACTGACTTGGATGCCGCAAACAAGAAGCTGACGAAACAAGACCGAGATTTTGCCGAGTTACAGTCAGAGCTTCGAAATGCGCGAGAGCAATTAGGCGAAGCCATAGCTGCCCAAGATGCCGCCAGGAAAGAATCTGATGAAGCAGCAGCTAGCCTAGTACAGAGCGAAAGCCAGCTCGCGGATCTTCAGGCACGCTACAGCCGAAGTCAAGAAGAGCTCAAGAAAGAGGCTGCTGCTGCACACGAGAATCTCAAGAAACACCAAGATGAGCATGCAAAGAATCTGAAGGATGGTGTCTATGCTCAGCGAGATGAGAAGGTCATTGATAATCTCAGAAACCTTGTTAAAACTCTCCAGGCGCAGGCAAAGGCAGCGACCGAAGCCATGGACCGCGCCAAAGGCGAAGTTAAGGACTGGAAGCTGGAATGCAACAGGCTTGAATCTGAATCTCAACAGCCTCGAGATGCAATCGTAATGCTGCGCAGCAAAGAGGCAGATCTTGCTAAGCTTGAGGAGAGGCTTGAAGTGGCGCACAAGGAGCGTGAAGATATGGTTCGTGCCAAGGAGGCCACCGTAAACAGGCTAGAGAAGGAGCTAGGCATAGCTCAAGAAGAGCGTGATGCTGCGATCCGGAAAGCCGAGAGCAAGAATGGACATGAGAAGGCCGTCGCGAGCCTCCGAAGTCAGCTCAAGCGCGCAGAGCAGGAGCGAGAGAAAGCCTACCAAATGATTCTCGACTGCGGCCGATGCGGTCAGATTGAGAAAAATACCGGAACGCCCTCCGAGGACACTAACAGCACTCCGGTCCGATCGCGCATGGGCTCGGAATCTACTGAGGTCAGTACACTACCTACGGAGGCTGGCAGCGAGACCGCAACTCCTGCGACGCCTTCTGTTGATGGAGGAGAAACTGCCGGATCGGCAGACGCCAAGAAAAAGAAAACCAAGAAGAAGTCCAAGGCAAAGAAGAAGGAAACGACTACTGCCGCCAGCCCAGCCCCAAGCGAGTCCATCAGGGATGAACTGACGCTTGACGAGCTGATTGGGGATCCGACCAAGGCTCCTGACGTCCTATTGAGATCAAAGTTCGGTGAGAATCCGTTAATCCCGTTATTTAAGGACGTTGTCGAGAACCTGAGGGAGCGCAACGATTCGTCGAATGCACAGCATGATGAGCTCCTCCAGCATCATGAAAGCAAGATTGAAGAGCTTGAGCAGCAGCTCCGCAACAATTCCATCATCCTCCAAGCTAAGCACGAGGAGACTCTTGCGCTGCAACAAAGTTTGGCTGACAAGAAAACCTCTGCAGGCACCACTGTGGAGCAAGAAGCTCAACTTGACAGCCTCAAGAAAGAAGTCGAGGCGCTCAAAGAAGAAATCATTGAGAAAGATGGCAAGATTAAGAAGCTTCAAGAGAGTTTGAAGAGCCAGGCGACCCTGGAGGAGAAGATTGAAGAACTCACCGAAGAGAAAGACGGCCTTCAAGAGTCCATGGTAGAAGTCGGGAAAGCTGGTACAGATGCGAAGCATGAATTGAAGGAGATGAAGGAGCGCCGCGACAAGTTGCAGCAGGAGTATGACGAGCTCCAGCTCGAAAGCGACAGTGCTCGCAAAGCTCAGAAGCATGCCGAGGCGTCTGTTCAAGTCCTCACAACGAGATCGAAAGAGCTTGAGGCAGAATTGAGCGAACTGAAAACCAAATCTGTGCCAAGCACCGAGCTTGACGGCTTGCGCGAGCAAGTGCAGAACCTCGAGAGGGAGAAAGAGGCTCTCCAGGTGTCTAAGGAAACGTGCGAAAAGCAGATTGAGGAATTCAAAGCTCAGCAGACTGCAAGTGGTGCTGCGTTGGATGCCAAGGAGAAGTCCCTGACTACAGATCTTGACAGGTTGCGATCAAAGAGCAGCGAGCTAGAGAAGGAGCTTGCCCAGGCCAACACCCTCGCACAAGATCGCTTCAGGTCTCTCGCAGAAGTCAAGGAACTCTACACGAAAGCACAAGCCGAAGTCAAGAAGCTGCGTGAAGAGCTGGCAGGCTTGAAGACTGCGAAGGCAGAACTCGACAAGTCAAATGCGATAGTGAAGAAGTTGGAGATGAAGGAGAAGGACCTGCGATCCGAGATTGCAGAATACAAATCACGAGCAGCCGACAAGGAGAGTGAGATTGCGTCGCTCTCCGACAAGGCCAAGAAGGCCACCGACCGAAGCACGGCTCTCGAGGAGTCCTATGAGAATGCACGCAAGGAGCTGGAGAAGAGTGAAAGCATACGCAACGAGGTGACCGAAGCGCGGGAGAAGCTACAGGCTGACCTCAAGAAGCTGCAAGACGAACTTTCCAAGGCCAAGGCTAAAGCCGACAACCTGGAGCAGGAGGCTCGGAAGGCAGCCGAGGAAGCTACTAGGCTGAAAGACGAGCTGCAATTCACCTCTGCACAACGCGAGAGTTCGCAAAGCATGATGGACACCATGCAAGACCAGACACGAGAGATGTCGACACGTATGAAGGAGGTCGAGCAGCGCAATGAAAGCTTAGAAGAAGAGCTGGCCGATGCCCAGCGCTTGCTGTCTGAACGCAGTCGAGAAGGCGAGACGATGCGGAGATTGCTTAGTGAGGTCGAGGCTCGTGCAGACAGCAGAGTCAAAGAGATGCGTGAGCAGATGGAGCTAGCTGTGTCTGAGCGGGATCGTGCCGAGGACAATGCGAGCAACATCGGGCGTAGGAAGGCCCGCGAAATCGAAGATCTGAAGTCGAAGCTACGAGATGCCGAGCAGGAAGCTTCGCGTGCCAAAGAAGCACGAGAGGATGCTGAGAAGAGGGAACGAGACTTCAAGACCCAGCAAGCTGACATCGAAGCCCGCGCTGCCCGAGCTCAGCAAGAACTCAACGAGACGCGAACGGCGATGGAACAATTGCGGGACAGCCTCGATGAGACGGAACGGTCAAACCGCGAACTGGAGAACCAACGGCAATCCCTTCGAAAAGAAATTGCCGACCGCGAAGCACGACTCGAGAAACTACAAAAGTCTTCGAAACAGCTGACGGAAGAACTCAAGAAGTCACAAGCACGCCAAGCCACAGGCTCTTCTCGGTCCTCGATGGAATCCTCTGCCGCGAGAGGTTCGTCCAGAGTCACATCTCCCGCACCTGTGTCGATTCGCACTTCAAGCCTGAACGGCGCACCAATGTCTCCTGCTGGCAGTAGTATGTCTACCGAACATATCAAGGGCGCGTTGTTGAGTTTCTTTTCGATCAAGGAGAAGAAGCATCAGGTCGATTTCGTTAGTGGGCCTATGGGCAAGATGCTGGGATTGAACGATCAGGATCGTCAACAGTTGATTGCGGCGATACAGGCCAAGTAAGACGACGACTTTCGTTTTTGAACAATGATGGGTTTATCATGAAAAGAACAATCGTGTATATATAGCCGTTCACTCATATCGAAGCATAGGCATAGCATGGCATAGCATGGCGGAGGGTCCAATGCATGTGACGACTCATTGTAATACTGGTCAAGGTTCTTGGTCCTTGGTTCTCGTTTCTCGTTTCATTATAGTATCGATACTGTACATCGTGCGTACATCTTGCACGAGCATCGAGCTCAGGCCGTAACACACTTCTTGCACAAACATACCTTCCGCTCCGGCACCTGCAACGCTCCCAGATACACCATAATCTCCCGAACAACACACCATCCCATCCCTCTCCACAACCCCCTTCAAATCGCCCTCAAACCCCTCCGGCCCCTTACCCTTCGCCTTCAATATCCTCGTCCATTTCACAGGCGGTGAAAAAAAAACTCTAACCCTCTCCCTCCCACACAATAACTCAATCCTCACATTATCATCCCCAAACGCAAAACTATAACTCCGCGTCACGGGAATTCATACTTGCAACCAGCGGTCGATTTTCTTTTGGGTTTCGATTTCGGTGGTGTTGCAGTCGAAGGATACAGCGGGGGAGGAATTCTTGCCGGATTTTTTTTTTGTTGGTTGGTTTGGGAAAGGGGGGAGATGAGGAGGAGGGAGGTTGTTATTCTTGGTTGGGGGGTCCGGTGGGTTTGAATGCTGGGTTTTTCTCCTGGGTGGGAGGGTGAGGAAGGCGAGGGTGTCGTAGATTTGGGTGCGGAGTTGGTGATGGGTGAAGTGGATTTCGAGAGCGGTTTCCGGACAGTTGTGCCTACGCAGGTATTGCGATATTGGAGATTCGCTGTCTCGACTACTGATTCATCTTTTTCAGTGGAGTCCCAAATGCTGGTGTACGGCCAGCGAGCCTGATCGTCCAGAAAGGTGGAATACATCAGTCTCATCTCTTGTTCGATTTCTGCGAGTCTCTCCCATGATTCTTTCTCTCGTTCAAGCCGAATGGCAGCCGTTCCATTGGGTTAGATATCATAATGAGTTTGATCACTACCGGCACACTCTCTTTGACCAACTCTTCACAAACCTGTTCTTGGAGTTGTCGAAAAACGACAGAAAAGCCCAAAGACTCAAACATAGATGTACTCCGCCAATGTGAAACTGATCAACGAAAGCTACAAGCTCACTCACATCAATCTTCCGGCTGCTTGCCCATTTCTTTGCCGTGAAGTCGCAGCACAAGGCCCGCAGTCGACATATTTGCATGGAGCGAGTCAAGCACCTAGGTTGATACTGGCGGGGAGACTTGGAGGGGAATGGATGCTTGAGTGATGGTATGGTCCAGACTCCAGATCTCATCCTTCACGAACTTGTGATCGCAATAGCGGAGATAGCCTCGTAGATAAGGTCCACAGATCGGGCGTAACTTCGACGGCGGCCGCTTGTGGTTGGCAGCCGTCTAGCGCCAGTCAGATTCCACCGCTGGCCAATCTATACAATCCAGTGCGGTGGTGTCAATGGCGTGATGCTCTGTGCCTGTGATGAAGCCTGTGTGATGATGGACTTTCTGCATGGGAACAATCTGAAGACTGAAGTGAGATGAGACGTGTTTCAGATCACACCTGTCGTTATTATTGCAAGGCTGTAGAGGTGGGGCTGTTCGATCGATTTGCGGGGACAATATGAGTATGGTCGAGCTGTGACCACGCAGTTGGTCCTGTGCTGATATTCTAAACATTGAGAGCCGTACGTGGTTGACAAGAGTCTTTGTGGTTGACGAGAGTCTTTCGCTGACTTCAAAGACTGAACGTGAGTGCAGCATACACGTTCCCGTATGGCCCTCCTGACTCGCGACTGTAGTAGTATTCGGGTCCGGAAATTTTGAGGTGAGGTGAATGTTGCGAGGATGGAGTTATGGAGCTGGTCAGGCGAAGCTTTGCACTGTGTTTCATACGCTGTGATGTTTTGACTGAGACACCTTCGTTGGTCCTGGAAAGCGGAGAAGGCTAGACCACAGACTGGCGTCTGGCGTCCATCCTGCGTATACGGTATTCACTTCCGGGACATCCTCTTCTATCGGATCTTTCCGTCGAAGCAGGCGGCTATGGCGTCTCGAGTGAGGCGGCTGAACTGTCTCGCCCTTGGATAATGCACGAAATTGTGTGCTCGACTGGACGTGCATACATATGTCTAACCCTTCATGCGGACTAGCATCGAGGTGATGATCGTCTGTCTGTTGTCTTGACAGCAGAGTCCAAGACTCTAAGGCAGTCTGCAGCGATCAAATACTCTATCTAATAAGACCTAATTTGTAATTGTATAGAAGTGTAGTCCAGACAGGGGAAAGGAGGAAGCGCAAGCTTTCTATCCCCGATGCTAACGCCCGTTCGCATTGAAGCAAATCTCGATCTCTTTAGTTAAAAGTGCCTTGTTCGCTAGCTAATTTTTATTAAATAAGCTCACTTTTACTAGACTCTTGCTTTTAATAAAATAAGGCTAATTTAGTCTAGTTTTAGGTATTATTTAGTTAGATTTATATATATATATAAACTAGATTATAAGATAAAGCTACTAAGCTTAGGAAAGCGGATCCTTAATAAATCTAATCGACTATTATAATATAACTACGTATTAGTATTATTATACTAGAGTAATAATTATTAATAGCGACTATCTTTATACTTAATCGAGCTATTTCTAGTACTTAGAGTAATATAAAGACGTATTCTTATATAGCTATAGCTTCTAAAAGTAAATAGCGAGAATCTAGTTCCCTACTAATAAAGCTACTAATTATAAGGCAGAAGCTAAGGAGGCCTAGTATAAAGTACGTAGCCTAGTAGCCGACTTATAGCCTATAAGTACGCCTAAGATCTACGCTTAGTAAGCGCGGATACTTCCGATCTTTTATCGCCGTATAATACTAGTAAACGGGTACGCTAGCATAGTAGTTTAATACTAATAGAGCTAACTTTTGCTAAAAAATATCTTCTCGACTATTTAATACGACTTCTAACCCTTCCTTCTACCTAATATTACCTATAGTAGTATAATTAAACCTCTAACTATAGTGTAATACGCCTATACGACCTTCTATACTACTAGTAGCGATTCCGACTATTATAGTACCTAGTTTCGATAGCTAGAATACTAAATAGTGCGTTAGTCTATTCCCTCTATTAGCGTATATTACGTTTAATAAATACCTTAAAGATAAGAAGTAGAAGGGCTATAATAAGATAGTAGTAGCTCGAGAGCGCTATCTTCGTATTATCTAATAGGTTATAGTCGATAATATAACGCTTAGCCGCTTCGGATATACTTTACTTAGTAAAGCCGACTATAACGAGAAGATTTAGGCTTTATATTACTTCTAGTAGAATAGGGAAGAGTAGCGCCTATATATAATTAAAAAGAAGGGTAGTAATAAGAAGGTTATCTAAGAGTATAAAATGTTCTATATTCTAACTACTAAATACTATACTTTTAGATACGTACGCCGTAGCGTAATATTATATCTTATTAATAAGAAATTCTATAGTATAACGAAGAAGGATACTACCGAGGTCCTTAAGTACTACTAGGTATATAATTATAGCCTAATTAATTACTACCCTACTATACCGAAAAGCGATCTCCTATAATATATACTAGTATTAGAGGGCATATAAAAGGCATATAGCCGGCTAAGTAAAGCTAGGGTCTTAGTGCCTTAGGTAGGGCTTAGCGCTTAGCGTTAGCCTAACTTCCTAACCTTCCTCTCCCTCTTTATAGAACTTATTAAATACTATACGCTCTTAACTATACTATCTACCTACTTACCTAACCCCTATTATAACTAGCTAAGAAGACCCTCTCTGAAGTCTAAATAGATTTAATCGACTTCCTAAACGACCCCGATAGCTCTTATCTATATCTTCTATATATAAAGAACTATAAGTTTAAATTCAACTATATTTACGCCCCTACTCTAAAAGAAAGCGCTAAGATTACCTTCTATATTTAGGACTTTGCCTACTCTATAGATATTGCGCTACTATATTAAATAGATAATAGTAAAGAATTTAAGAGAGTTATCGAGAAGCTAGTACTACTATACAGTATAGAAATTGCTTATAGTACGCCCTATTGCCCTTAATCGTAAGGCCTTATAGAATAAACTAACGGCGTTCTTAAGAGGCGTATTCTCGCTTTTAGATTATAACTCTACCTCTATAGATAGGTTATAGCGGCGTACGAGGTAGTACGGATTTATAATAGTACCTTCTATACTACTATTAAGATAACGCCCTTTAAGGCCTTCTTTAACTATAAGCCGCTAATACAACCTTTTATTACTATAGCGGAGACTATAGTAGCGGCAACCGAGGGCAATATAGACCTACTATTTAGACCTAACAAGCTACGAGTAGTTAATAATATAGTAGATAATAACGATAGCGAGAATATAGCTACTAGGGGCGCTAACTAATATAATACTAAGTAGACTAGTAAGAATAGGCCTTAATTTAACCCTAGTAATATACCTCTTAATCCTATAAATAATAGCTAGTATAGTAATAGTAATATTTTAGTAACGCCTCTTTACGACGTTTATAACTAAAGACGTACTATCTATACCTCTAGCGCTAGTATCTCTTCTGCTATAGACTACTTATAGAATATACTTATAGACTATGTAGTAGCCGCTTGCGGCTTAATAAGCCGCTAGCCTAAAGGCTAATCGTATATAGAAGTATAGCAATCTACGGACTTTCGAGATTAGTAATATTATTAGCTTATAGATCCCGAAATAGTATAAGGTACTAGATAGTCTAAAGCTAATTATATACTAGGTTATAGTCTATAGAGTAGTACGAGGACGATAATAGTATAGCTAAACTACTCTTTAAGCTACTATATCCCTAGAGGCTAGTTAAATACTACTAGTATATAAGGAACCTCGTTAAAGGCGATAGCTTCTTCTTCGCTAACTTCTTAGTCTATTCTAGCTATAAGAAATTAAAAATAGGAAAATAGCCCTCTCTAAAGCCGCTAGGCTATAGGCTCGTATACTATTTGCTTTATATAGTACCTATCGCTATATTAATAGCCGTTATCGCTCTATACTATATAGCTATTATAAGGCTAGCAGACCGTATTTACTCGCTTACTATAGTAAAGGCAATATCTATAAGAATATAGACGACTACGGTTACGCTACTAATAAGTTAATATTAGGACTAAAGAGGTTATACGTAATTAGTATATAACTAGGCTCGAGTGAAGCTAGGGTCTTAATGCCTTAGGTAGGGCTTAGCGCTTAGTAATAGGCTAACTCTCCTACCTTCCTCCCTCTCCTTCTAGATCCTTATCGAATACTACTTGTACCTACTACTACCCTATCTACCTACTAATATAACCCTTCTTATATAGTATTCGATCTACCCTTTAAGGGTAGTAGCTAGATAGTCCTTATTTTAAGCTTTTAGCGGTATAGCTACGAAAACCGTTAATCTAACTATATTACGCCCGAAGAACGGGACCTATACGTACTATTCTATTAAAACAACCGTACTAATTATCAAGCAAGGCCTTCTATACGGCCTATTATACTAAATTAATCGCACTAAGCCGATATCTACTAATTCCGCTATATCCGTATCTTAGAGGCCTATAATACATTATTAGTGTTACCCCTTATAATAGCCGGCTTATTACGAAGCAATAACAACCGCGGCGCCGCTAGTAGCGCTAGCAATAACAACGCTAGTAGCATAGTGCCTACTAAAGTGCCTACTAAAGAGCCTACTAGAGGGCCTGCTAAAGAACCTATAATCGAAGGGGATAACCTATCGTTTGTTACGGTTTAGACAGTAGTGCGGCCGATCCTGCTCCGGATACTGTCGATCCTACCGTAGATTAGGACGATTGATATATATAGTTTCCTAGGCTAGTAACTAACTAACAATCAATTATCTTTGTATACTAGAATCGTGTCCGTCTCCGCTCTATAGAGCGTATCCTAACAACTTGGTAGCTTCGCTAAGATTACGACCTAATTGGCTTCTATACTAATCAACTCCTCTACTAGAACCGAGCTATTAGTCCTAATTGCGACGAGAACCGAGACGATTAGCTAAGGATCCCTCCGATCTAGCGCCGACCGCGACGATTCGACTCGCTACGTTACGACCGATATTTACTCGATTTATACTATTCCGTACTAGTCGGCGGCTACCTACTATAGTGCCTCGCCGACACTAATACACTATATACCCGAATCGCCTAACCGCGGATTCGGTAGGTAGCCGCGCTTTAGCGGCCGGTAGCTATTTCCCCGCATCCCTAGGAAGGTACCTTTCGAGGAATAACGGAAGGATTAGCCCTAACTAGTTAACAAACCACCTTTTGCTACTAATCCGGACAGCCTCCGTAACGATACTCTACTATATAACGCTTTACGTTAATCCTACGCTTCGTTTCGCTTCTAACCCGGACAGAAGCACAAATCTATTAAACTAGCGGTCCGACCGCTACCCTAGTACCGTAATCTTAGATTACTAGATACTAAGTCTTATATCCTGCGCATTTGTACCTTTATCGGCTACTACGTCCGGTATAGCGAGAATTTTGCAGTCTAACTTAGAGTAAAGTATAGCCGTATAGACCTACTTGCCTCCTACGTCCTATAATACTACCCGCGACTAGGAAATCTACTACCGTCTTAGGCTAAGATCGACGAGCTATACCTATATACCCTCGACGGGATCGACTTCCCTAGCTAGTAGGTAGTCGATAAAGGTACCTTAATACGATCGGTTAAGGAACTAAAAGTAGCTTTTCCGAATACTCGCGATTCGTACTATTATAAGTAGTTTTTCCCTAAGGTATACTCGCCCGCGGACATTAAACGAGCACGAGTAGGAGAGTAACGCCCGTAGCCCGATCCGGCTACTTATCGCTCGCCTTCTTCGCGGGTACCGGAGTTTTCGCCGATTACTTAGTAGGCGGCGTCGTTACTACTACCCTCTCCGAGTAGGTATCGACCGCCTAGAGCTACTACCTATTCGGAACAACTACGCGCGCGACGTCCTAATAATTATATAGATAGTATATTACCCTCTATATTTCTACGTAGACTGTTACTAATAAGGATCTCTAGCGATAAATCCTCGCCGTAGGAATCCTCGCCGTACTCTCTACTAGATAACGGACGAGGCCCGATAGACCGCAATTATAAGGACGCGCCGCGAGGCCGCGGGCTAACGAAGGGAAATCTAGGCAATAGCGAGCCTCGTAGCCGGCACTAGCGTCCGCTATCTATAGGGTCTACGATAGAGCTAGATCGTAGCGAGATCCGTAAACAACTAGACTAGTAGCGCCTATATGCCTTACGGGAGTTAGTACTATA